CTCTCCTGCAGGCCATCAGCTGTCTGAAGAGGGCAAACTATCTGTCTCCGTTTGATTGGAAGATCCTGTATAATCTGGGTTTGGTTCATCTCACCATGCAGCAGTACGCATCAGCTTTCCACTTTCTGAGCGCCGCCATCAACCTGCGGCCGCGCATGAGCGAACTCTACATGCTACTGGCCGGTAAACATATCAAAAACTACTGCTGAAGTAGTCTGACAGTTTTATCAACATGCAGCTTTTCTTTTTATTATATAAAAAAAAAATGAATAAGTGTCACTTTACATAAAAAAATACATTTTAAAATAAAACAATTAAAAAACACAAAAAAAAGACAGTAATAAAGTAATCCCATACTTTTTTGCTTTTTATTTAATTTAAAAAATAAATGACTTCTTACTTTATCTTAAAAATACAGTATTACATTTTTATTAAATAAATGTAAACATAAAAACAACCAACATTTACTAAAAAAGATCATATTTTAAATACAATAGTAGCTTTTTTAACTAATTTAAAAAATAATTAATGTGTGACTTTACATAAAAAAAGAATAATGTGTTATGATATTTTAATTAATTTTAAAATAAAAACGGTTTAAAAAACGTGTATTAAGAAAGACAATAAAGATATATTAATAATATATTTCACACAAGATATTAAATATGAAAATCATCCATGTATGAGCAAATTTGCATGCTTCTGGCCAACCACAACTAATACTATCTTAAGTACTTTTTAAACAGATAGCATGTTACTTTTTAATTTAATTTAAAAATAAATAATTTGTTAAATATAAATAATAATAATGCCGTATGATATTAAATATATTTTAAAATTAATATTAAAAATAAATGTCACTTTACATTCAAAATAATAATCTAATAACAATTGCTGCTGTTTGAAATAGTTTTTTAAACAGGTAACGTGTTGTACTTTTGCTATTTACTTCATTTACTTAATGCTTTAGATAAAAAATGATAATGCACTTTTATTTTTAATAAATAAAACATTTTTAAAAGAACAGTTCCTTTAAAGAACAGTGTAAATGTGAGAATCAATATTTGTCCAGTTTAATTTAATGTGATTGTTATTTGTGCTCTGACCCTCATCAGTTGCTCTGACCAATCTGGACGACGCAGATAACGCCCGCAGGTCTTACGAGCAGGCGCTTCAGCTGGATGAGTATGTACTTCAGACCCTGATCTGTGCTGGTAAATCTATAATGTACAGAACTAGTTGAGTTAAAGTGAGTGTATTTTGTCTGGCAGGTCAAAGCTGCTGGTGAACCTGAACTTTGCGGTGTTCCTCTATAATCAGGGCGATAAGAAGGCTGCCCTGCTGCAGTTTCAAGAGATGGAGAGAAAAGTCAACACTCAGGTGGACAATAACAGCAACACTGAGTTTGACCCAGAGGTACTGAACCCTAGTCTTATTCTGACCAAAATCTGGCCATTTAGACATTAAGAGACCATCAAGACTAACACCTAATGTTACAAAACAATCGTTCTGCTCATAGATAGTTTACTTGCAATAAAACGGCCCTTAAACAAAACTTTAAGGTATCTTTTAAAAAAATATATGTATGTAATTAGTATTTATTTATTTATTCTCATTACTGTAATGTGTCCCAACATATGTAATCTTTTTTTTTTTTTGCTGTTATTTCTTATTTAATACAGTGACAAATATAATGGAAGCAATGTCTGGAAACAACTTTTTATTAAAACAGTATAGTGCCATGATTTAAAAAAATAATATAATTATTTTTGCATTTATACTAAGAATTTGTGAGAAAACAGACATATAACTAAATGAAAAAATGAAACTTTTGACATTTAACTGTTTTTGTTATTTTGATAAGATTATTAAAGCTGATAATCCCCACAAACTTTATTAAATCCAACAATTTAAAATTAAAATCAATATAATAAATACCATGATATTTAAATTCTTTACAATTTAGATATATAAATCTCTGCATTTATAATAATGCTATAATAATTTTGCTTAATATAAATGTAAAAAAAATAATAAAAAATATATATTATATTTTTATTTGTTTTTTTTATGAATTCATTCATCTTTTCTTCCTCATTATATCAGTCTGGTAATTATTAAAACTGATTTTTCCTAATGATGATTCACACACACACACACATTGCCAAGAATCACAGGAGATCTCATCTCTTTCTCACACAGCTGGTTGAAATGGCTCAGAAATTGGGCGCCGCTCTACAGGTGGGTGAGAACCTGTACTGGAGCAAACCGGGCAAAGACGGCAAGACCAGCCAGCGGTCGTCCTCCAGCAAACCCAGTAGCTCCCAGCAGCCCCTGGGCACCAACCAGGCCCTCGGTCAGGCC